ACAGCCGCTGCGCCGCTGAAGCACTTTCGTTACAGCCGCTGCGCCGCCGATGGCATTCGAAATTTTAAAATTTTCGAGCCGCCGCCAGCTGTCAACTTTAGAACTTTACAGCCGCGCCGCCGAACATTTTAAAAAAAATTTTAAACTTTGACGCCGCCGCCGATGACCTTACCGGCTTACACCTCTAATTGTAAGCATTTATCTCTAATCAGATTCCAATTCTGCCCGAAACATTTTTAGTGTATATTGGAATTCTGATTTTGCCTACAACATATATATTATTGCAATTGATTTTATACGAGAACATAAATAAGCACATCAAATCAAAGTTTTTGGTAAAGAAAAATATAGCTACAACTTCAGCACGCACCATTTTTGATTTCTACTCACTTTGAGTACGAAAACGTGTTAGCTCCATCAAGTCATCATGGCAAACATTTTATTGTGTATAACCTTTTCTTCGATAATTTACACGTACAAAAACAATGCTTATAGTAGCTACTGCTAAAATTGCTGATATCAATAAGAAAATAAGACTGGACGTAAATGAACCTGTTTGATCTTTGAATAAACCCACAAAAAATGGACCAGTACTTTCGCCTATGTCACCGAACACACTAATAATACCGATGGACTCTGAAGCAATGACTTCTTGTGTTGTTAGCGATGTACATAATATCCACCATAGTGAATAAGAACTTTTGAGGCTCGATGATATTATTACGAAGGAGACTGTTGCGATGATTAGTGACTTCTGTCCCAATATCAGGATTGCAAGTGCTATGATAGTGATAAGAAGAGGTATAACTGTGTGAAAAAATCTTTCATTGAAATAGTCCGATGACCAACCAACACATGGTATCAAGACGATAGTAATGAATCCTGGTATTGTTAATAACCAAGTCAGAGTATTATCGCTCAGATGATACCAATCATCTAACATCGTCGGTATGAAAAAATCAAACCCATACTCGACGTTCATCATCAAAGTTCGGGCAATACATAACAATAATACTTCAATATGACAAAGATTCTGACATATGGTCGAAGAGGCTTCACTTGTTTTAGTTTCAGCAGCTAATTCAGTATGAAGTGCATCGTGTTCATCCTTAGTAAGCCAAGTGGCTTCACTCGGTCGATCTGTAAACATGTAATACAGTGGAATACTCAATAGAATGGATATTATACCCCACACAATAAACCTATTTCAAAAACAGAAACGTATGTTCGTTGCATATAACCAATAATGATACTTACAGCCATTGCCATCCTCTAAGATTGAATAATGTGGGATAGTGAATTCCATTTTCAGTTGTTCCCATTCGTATGAATAGATAAGAAATTTTTGGACCAATGGAATATGCAATCGGTACTGCCATAAAAATAATGCTGAGTGCGATTCCACGGTTTCTCAAGGGTAGCCAATAACTAAGATAGATAAGAATGCCAGTAAAAAAAACCTGATCCAGCAACACCGAGAAGAAACCGTTGCAAATATATTTGCCAGACCTCTGTTATAAATGCTGTCAGTATAGCTATGAAACCGTGTACAATCGATAAGAGAGAAAACCATTTATAAGCACTCCATTTTTCTACGACTGCAATACTTGGAATTTGAAGAGTTAAAATACCCACAGAGTACAATGCTTGACTTAGACCAAAAATCGTTTCAGTATTGTTGCTGTGTCGAAATGCTGACAGATCTTGCGCCATCTTGAGTTTAGCCAGCGATAGACAGGATTGATCACTCCATAGAGCAGTAAATAGTATTAAACCTATTGGGAGATAACGCCAATAAATCTTACGGATAGCTCGATCCAATGGTGATCTCGTCATTGTTATGTCGAAGAAAACAATCAAGTTTAGATTAATTCGATAGTTTCTAAAATAAAGAATGAAAGATTTAGAAAACTCCAAGTTTATATAATTATACTGATTCTGGCGATCGGTACAGTATCGTTACAACATATTATCCCTATGCCTTATAATAATTGTCAATAAAAGATATCGCTCTCGTTTCTTTGTAAGGTTACAAATAACCTAATGTAATCACTGTATAAATACCATCTTGAAGATGTGGGTGTGGGTGTAGATATCAGAGACACAACACATCCGCACCCACACCCTACTAGAGTAATTTTAAATAACGCAACAAAAGCGAATTATATTTTTAGAAACTGACACCTGATAATAATCGTTACTGCCGTTGTTGTAATATCAGTCACATTATGCATAGATGCATTTAAAAATTGATCTGATACGAAATGGTTTATATATAACTCAAGTTGATGAAAACGTAACGAACGAAAAATAAATGAAAAATTTATGCAGTATACTCCTCATTATTGAGACGCGTTATTTGCACGTGGCTATAAAGGATTAAGAGACAAAAAAGAAAAGAAATCGATGAAGCATTAAACACCTATTAGATTCTTTTTGCATCTGTTGCAGTGATGTCGCACTCATACATAATCTTTCTTTCATCTTTACTATATTTAGATTTTTTTTCATTGAATAAAATTAGAAAAGATCGTGTGTATGTATACACAAATACATTTATAACTATATGCATAGTAGAAGAAAAGAAGAAATACGAATACTAACAGCGTCTCATGTGAATATTTTTTGTTATTTTTATAAAATTACCCAGTTCGGTCATTTAGACCATTCGAAATGCATCGTTTTCAGACGTTTACAACTCTTTTGACAAAGTTCTTTTACTCTTTTCTAGCGCCATTACATACTGATTCTCATTCGCATAGCGTATTGCTTTCTGATATTTATTGTTCAGTTCTATATCGAGATTGTTCTAAAATTTAGTAAACTAGAAAAACAAGACAATGAAACGCTTTAATTTATTTTATAACACACAAACAACGATTTTGTCGAATAGACAGAATGAGGTTCTTGATGACATGGATGTGGATGCGAATGGAAGTATGAGTCTTGTTATTCCTTACCCATATCCACACCTATATTTTCTTTAAAACGAGATCTCTTCATTCAGAAATGGATAAAAAAAAGAAATTCCTTCGTGATTACACGTTTGCTCTTTTCGGTACGCATTTAAACAGTTAAAAGAAGGTTTTTTTAAGAGTTTACACACGTTTTTGTAAAACCTTGTCTGCTTGGGTACTACAATTCAATATCACTGAAAAGTTTTCCTTATCATTGAAACATATTTCAAAAGTAAGAAATCGAAAAGTAGTGATATCGCTCTGAATTGATTTTTGTTAAATAAAATCAGTCTATAGTATATTATCAAGATCTTTCAGCAGTGGTCCTATTCCAAGATATTCGACAATTTTCAAATTCCTCCTATCGAAATAGTGAAGCTAATGACTTCCAGACTAAATTTACCAAAATTAGCGCAGATGCTAAACATCATATGCAAATGTAGGTATTCAAATATGTATTGTTTTGGAGATATCGAAATACAAAAACAAGCATTCAGTGAATGCATCACTGAGCCATGATGTGAGGATAATCTTCATACACTTGAACAGACTCAGGTAGAACCTTGTTAGTCTCGAAATTTGATCAATTCTCATGAATCCTATGACTGCGAAAAGATAGCAGTTATTGAAATCATCGAGAACATCTTATATTTATGGATGAAAAAGATGGCTAAACAGTTCTAATGTTCGAGATACTTTCATATTTCTCTGGTGAAGAATTGTTCTTTCATGAACTTGACTTTGAACGTCTTCCATGTCTTCTGCCATATTTTTTATGTTTACCGTGGCAATGATCACGATAACGATCTCTCTCCGGAGAACATCGGCAAACATGTTTGTTATTATTACGCTTCTTATTCTTATCTCGTCTGTTGTCATTGTCACAGGCATGATCTTTCTCTTTATTTCATCTTTTTTCGATGATATATTTGTAGTGATTTCCATGCTTGTTTACCGATAATTTGATCATTCTTGCCAAACTTTCTTTAGAACCGCTATTCGATGTCATTCGATCTCTCTTTTCAAAATAATAAAACCAACAAATGAGGAGAGTAATATTCTATATTCATTGCTTCGTTATTCTCGATTGGATTGATATGTTTTTTTATGTGTGAATAGATTAGAGAAGGAAAGTCTACAGTCTTTATTTGCATGAGAAAACAAGTTACTGTCAACACTGAAAGTTTGAATGAATAAAAAAAGACTGACAATCGCACAGTGTGGGACCTAAAACTATTTTTCAAAAAGTTGATAGTTGACAAAATTGGCAAAAAGTTAAAACAGTTATAACTAGAGTTATAACTATCAACCGCAGTTATAACCTTCAACCAGAGTTATAACTATCAACCGTAGTTATAACTAGCAACTTTTGTCAAATGGGAACCTCCTAAATCCTTTAATCATGTGAAAGATCGATCGGTAATGTTCTCCTGTCTTTCTTCTTTTTTCTTAATGTATATTTTTTTTTGAAACTATGCTTTTTTAAAAGCGACCAGCAAAACAGTTGAACAATTCTTAAAATCCTTGGCGATATATAGTGATCATATAGATATATTATTCTTATAATAAAGAAGAAGAAACAAAAGCTATGTGCCTTTTCAGCACTGAAGATTAATTATTCATACTATTTCAGTTCAAAGTCAGTTCAAGATAGCCATAATTACACGTCAGTGTGGGAGTTAAAATTATTTTTTAAAAAGTTAGTAGTTGACAAAATCGGTAAAAAGTTAAAACAGTTATAACTAGAGTTATAACTATCAACCATAGTTATAACTTTCAACCAGAGTTATAACTACCAACCGCAGTTATGACCTTCAACCTGAGTTATAACCATTAACTGTAGTTATAACTATCAACTGCATCAATTTTGTCTCTAAATACTAGTAAGATTGACAAAACTGATGCGTTTGATGGTTATAACTGTGGTTGATAGTTATAACTCTGGTTAAAGTTATAAGTTACAACTCAATTAACTTTTTGGCCAAAAAGTTGATCGGTTATAACCCAAAAAGTTAAAACCCGAGTTATAACTACCCTAGTTTTAGGTCCCACACTGCAATCGCATAATGATTTTGTGTTATTAAGTTCAAAAAGATTGATGAGCACTAATACAATGTAGAGTCTCGCGTACTAATAAGTAAAAACAACTTCTAAAGAACGTCTTTTTATTTTCGAGCTCAATGAATCTCTTCTTTAGATAAAATAATTAATCCTAACAAGTTTATCAATATTGAACTTCTTTTAAAAACCAGAAAAGACGAGAATTCGAAAATAAAAATCATTAATGAATGCTTTCGTATCAAAGAAATAGTAGACTGTCTCTCAGAATAAATAGTCGAATAAATGAGATATTAAACGCGCGTATCTAATGCCAAATTCGTATCATTATTTTGAATCCAGTGAAGTATCACATAAACGTCTATTCTTAGAAATTGAAATATTGAAAGAATTACAACAAGCTGATCTTCTTCATGATCTCGAATGGAACTCATATGATACAATAGCATTAAATCTTTTTATTCAAGCTGGAATACAAGAAGCTAACGATGAACTTTCTCGACGTTCTGTAAATCATTCATATGATTTTGAACAATTGAATTTTATTGATCATTGTATTCAAAAACATCAAACATCTCCTTCAATAAATGAACAATTTCAACAACAAAAAATTTCGCTACCGCTAATCTTTAATGGGATATTTATCTTTCTATGTCTTTCATTTATTATTGGATTTCTTATTTATGAATTTATTAAATTTAATCATCAACATCCTTTAATTGAATCACTTGATCATTCATTAACAACTAAACGACGTCATTTATCTTTTACAGATGATTTATTACTTATTCTTATAACATTAACTAGTGCTATAATATTAGGTTCTATAATCATCGCAACAAGATTTAGTCGAAAGATCATTCTGTTTGGAATAGTTCTATTAGTAATAACTGTTTCACTTCTAATTATGAAAAGTCATCAAATAATAATATTCTTATTAAAATATCGCGAATTACGATGGCCAGCACTTTATGATTATTTATATTTGTAAGAAAAAAAATGATTTGTTTATTAATAATTGCAACGTGATGGAAACACATCATTTAAATAATATGTTGAGATGTTTAACACATTTATTATCATAAAACAAAACAATCATTATGAATATAATATTAAAAATCGAGTATACTCTTGCTGAATCATAGTGACATCTTTCCAATGTAAATACACGTGTTATAGGTAGTCAGCGAATAAATAAAAATGCAGATACATGATAGAATATGTACATATATATATACATACATATATGAACATAATATAAACTTTGAAAGATTTTTTTTACATGGCACAAAATATAAATCGAAGTCGAGATGCTTCGGTAGAAAATCTAAATGAACAATTAAAATGTATATCTCGAAATAAACGACAAACCGTATTTACTCGAACAGGTGATGTTGATGATCCACCATTTAGTCGACTTTTTTTACTGATTCCAAAAGCTATGTCAGAAGATGAGTTGCGTAAAGCATTTCTAATACATGGAACTATTCAAGATATTCATATGGTACGAGATCGACGAAATCAAGAAAGCAAAGGTTAGTTATGACAATAACGAGAGTATGATATAGACAAATTTTTGTATGATTTTTCTAATAGGAATTGCTTATATTAAATATGAAAAAGCATCAGCAGCAGCTCGTGCAATGGAAGAAATGAATGGAGTTGTTATTTCACCTCATACACGTCCAGTAAAAGTAAATATACATAGAGAGAGAGAGAGCTTTTGAATTTAATAATTTAACTTATTTTATTTAGACTATTATATCAAGTTCACGTCGTGAAGGTAGTGTTCGTGATCCAGATGAACATGAAAAAATGTTA